AAAAAAAGGTATTAAAACAAAAATTTTCTATTGATAATTTCAAATTTTTTTTGCTTTTAGTGTATTTTAATAGTATATGCAATAATTACTAATAACTAATATTAATAATTAAATGAATTTGAATTCAATTAAATCAATATTATTATTACTAATATTGATAATTAATTAATATTAAGCAAACCTTTTGTTCTTGTAAATATTGATATTCCTGATCCTTTTCCAATAATTCTAATGGGATTTCTTTGAAACTGGTAATAGTACAAGAAACACAAATAAGAAAAATAATTGTTATCAAGGTAAAAGTGGCATGAAGATGTCCACCTAACATAACTCCTATTGCCGTAGCGTCCCAATTAATGCCACCTAATCCATATCCCATGAAACCTCCTAAACCCGCCATTATAGTAAATGTACTTAAACCTTTAGCATGATCATCTATAAAAATATAACAATTATAATTACAATTACAATTACATCATAGTAAAAATTATAAATTTATATTAAATTTCTAAATTTAAATTAGTTAAATTTAAATTAATTAAATTATAATATTATTTTATTTCCTCTATTATATTCACTTTATTTCATTCAAAAGAAATAATTAAATAAACAAGTTGCATTTACTTGCCAGGTACAGTGACGTCGAGTAAATAAGCTCTGGCTGGACTTTGACAAGCATCCGCATCGAAATCGAGCAAAACCGTCCCCAGAATCGTGAAGAAAATTCCCCAAGAGTGAGATGGAGGTTTCGCTAACTCCTCTTTCGCATGTTTCGCTGTGGTTCGATGTCCCACGGGAACTGTATAATTAGTCGATGTAGATGGAATGTCTCCAAACGCGTATCCCATATCCTCACCGTTCGGTACTAATATTAATCCTTGATAAGCGAGTAAAAAATGCAAAGAAAATGTAATTTTAGTTTTTTTTTTTCAAATTGAAGAAATTGTTCTTTTTTTTTTATTCGTACAATGCAAAGTATCGATCGATTAATTTAATTATACTCCTTGTTCCTTTTAAAAATTGTATAAATTATTTTCATGATTTACTCGTTCAATTATTATATATATATATATATAT